AATAGTAAAAACTGCCCACTCCTTTTGGCAACATCTTTGTATGACTAGCATTCTCTGACCCTGATGCTCTGCCTCTTAATTTTGCCACTTTCTGAAAACATGAGGTCTTTAACTGCATGCACTCTGTATACTGGCAATTAGGGGTTGAAAACATAATTTTTCTACTTCTCCCTGGGTAAGATTAGCTTTTGGTTGTGCACATTGAATTATGGAGTGAGCTTTCCAGGGAAAAAGTTGATCAGCAACCCACCCACCCACCTGCAAGGATGGTGGTGGCAGATTTTTAAGTACTACTTCCTAGTATGGAAGACCTATCTTCTTAAATATTATTAAATTAGTACTAAAATATTATTTAACTGTTTCCTTTTCTTTTCTGAGTAGGAATGGTTTTCTTAGGGATCCAGATGGGGCAACAGTCGGCAAAGTACAAGTGTGTTCCCTTACCCCTGCATCTTTGCCTCACCTCAGAATTTAACATTTGAAAAAGATGAGTTCAAAAGTCCTCATGTGTCCTGAAAGGATACGGAAAGGCAATTTTGTCATGTCTGAGGAGCCCCAGAACACTTGGGTCCAACACATCCTCCAAAAATTGTGTATAGTTTTTTTTTCCAAATACAAATGGACTTTTTTCTTTTTCACCATCAGAGTATTTTGAAGTCAGCTGGCCATGGACATGGCATGGAAAGCCCTTCAGGATTCAGATGTGGACACATGAAATCTTTGGACAAAGTTGGAACTGATAGAAAGATTATCTGCTTTGCCTAAGGAGTCCAAGGTTTTATGTTACTCTTGCCTGATTGCTTTGTTAATTTATATAATTGACTTAACCACCCCCCTCACCTAATGTTCAGCAAAAACAGACTATCTTTGAACAACAGTAGTATCAGAGTATTCCTATTTTTCACAAAGAAAGGAAATTCCTGGAAGAGAGAAAAAAATAATAATTTAAAGCTAGATGTTGTGGTTGAAATTCAAACCACAGATCACCTGCATTATGAAAATGTGCACATTACTGCATCTTTATAGAACCTTAGCTTACATTCCCAGTAAAGAGATTAGCTCCACTTGTTCAGAATCTGATTGGGAGTAGGGTAACAAGACTTCTCTCAAATATAGATAAATTGGACTGGACTAGTGTGATCGGGTTTGTCATCACTGGTTCTTAACCTTTGTTATTCAGATGTTTTGGACTGCAACTCCCAGAAGCCTTCACCATCAACTCTGCTGGCTGAGGTTTCTGGGAGTTGCAGTTCAAAAACACCTGAGTAACAAAGGTTAAGAACCACATATCTGAAGCAGTTCCTCTCTTTTGGCGGGAAATAACGAGGGAATCTCTTTTTGAACATCAACAGTTTTATTGAACTTAACATTAGGTGAATCAACAATCACCTCAACCAGTTCTGGCAGACTAATCTCTGGCAATTGTCCATAAGAAGCGGTCAATAAATCTGTCCTTGAATTAACATGATTTATGAAGGGGCTGGTCCAAACCGTTTGCAATCATGGGGTTTCCTCAGAGGTGTACTCCTCACCACGCAGATGGTCCCATAGCAGGGGTGTCTGGCCCAGTCGCCCTCCGGAGGTGGACTGTTGAATGAGGCGTCCGGCTGATCCACCTTCTTTCAACGGCCTTGCCCCGGCGGATACACCACTACTGTCCATTCTAGAGAGTCTATACGTGTCTCGTTTCCTTTGACGGTGTCTGGATCTAGTAACAACCCTCCGGTCTTTAGGTTGGGAAAATCCTCCCAACAATCCTCTCATTGCATTATATTCAACATCCTTCTCCTTCTGCCCCCTTTCCTCTCATCCCTCTGCTATTCCTGGTATTCTGAATTGTCTCCTCCCACTTTTGTATCTTCCTCCCACAGGGACAAAATCAACTCCTCCTTCTCTTCTCTCTCTTTCTCCTCTGCTACAAAACAAACCTCAATCCTTTTCTTCTCTTTCCTTTACCCCTTCTTTGTTTCTTCCTCTTCCTTCAAACCTTTGTTTTCTAATACCCCTTTCGTTCTCGCAACTTCATCACCCGCGGATGTCTCTTGCTGAGGGGACAGCTGACGCTCAACTTTCTCCTTTCTCTCTATCTTTCCTTCACAGCTAGTAAAGATGGGATAGCACTGTTGAATAGAATTGTGTTGCCGATTCACTGCTTTCAGATGGTCAAAGGCCAAGCTGAGGTTTCATTTGAGCTTCTTTAACAGTAATGCTAGGGAAAGTTGGAAGCTGCCGGAATAGGAGTTGGGTTGAGGCAATAACCGAGCTTACAGGAGCTGAGCAGGCTGTTAATGACGGGACATTTTAGAGGCCACTCATACATGGGACCATCTTGCCATGAATAGGAGGCGACCCAATGGCACACGACCACCATGCTGTGCTATACAGGACATAAGGGTTATGCTGTGGCATTTATTGTGGCTTAAAGATGAAACAATACATTCATGTTTTCAGTGTGTGTTCAGGATCTTGATCTGTGGTCTGAATGTGTTTGAGTTTTTTTTGCAGGTGGGGGAGTGTAGCTTCGACAGTAATGTTTTGCTTTAAACCAAAGGTTTTATTCTCTTTGGGTAATAATAGTTAGCAACTGGGAAGCCTGTTTGCCATGCCACACCTTACCTCACTGTACTGCAAACCTGCCTTTGGGGTGGAGCGAAATGTTTGTTTCTAAAGTCATGGGGGGTGGTGGGGGTGGTTTATCACTATTTTCCCTCTTTTCCAGCCTGCTTTCCCAAAGAATATGGAAGCTCTGTGTCTCTTCTCGCTCTAAACCAGCCTCTCAATGGGGGCCATATTGACCCCCTGGGGCCACTGGAACATTTGAAGGGGCCAGACTGGGACCAATTCCTCACAAACACTCTTAGAAGATTTTTTATGCACCTTACACAATCCTGACTCAGCCTATATTTCTAGCCACTGGAACATTTGAAGGGGCCACAGACTGGGACCAATTCCTCACATACACCCTTAGGTTTGTTATGCACCTTACACAGTCCTGACTCAGCCTCTATTTCTTTCACATTGTGTGTATGGCCATGGCAAAAAAGAGGTTTATTATTTCATTTATTAGACTTCTAGAAAATGGCTGTTCTAAAGAAAACAAAAACACACAAATAGTTAAAGCAATATCTGGTTTACTGGATTAAGACGATCTACCTTATGTTTTATAACATCTTGCTTCAGATGAATTTAGACATGTCTGTGGGGAAATAGATCAACCTGTAATACTAAGGAATGCCTTCTCCCCCTCAGGAATATGATTTGGGAAAGTAGTTATAATGATTCAAGGACTCTTGGTGGATAACTTGCATATTTTTTATTTTATGATTTTTTAATTGTATTTTAAATGTTGTAAGTTTGCATATTTTTTATTTTATGAATTTTTTTTTTGTATTTTAAATGTTGTGAGCTGCCCAGAGACCCTTGGGTACTGTGGGCGGCATATAAATTAGAAATATATATATTTTAAAACAGATAGAAGTAACATTTTCCAAATTCATGAGCCAGGCAACAGATACATGGATTTATAGAAGGAGTAAGGAATCATTAACTTTCAGGACATATTGAGCCTCTATTCTCAAAAGCCCTAGCAACCCTTGCCATTGGTACAGATTCATGGCAATCATGGTCCAAATTAATTGGGGGTAGTGATGAAAAAGGATTCCCACCTTACTAAAAACATGGCTAAACCTATAACCCCCCCCTCAACATCCACACCCTGGTAGTCTACTTTTTCCTGCAGAACTAAGCTCTCCTGCATGAGAGGATTCACTCTCATTGACCACAGCCATTTAGACATGTTAATACTGTACATTCTATTGACTATGTGAACAATGATGACTACTATCCAAACTGCATCTATATGAGAAGAAGCCCCCTTGAACTTGGTTGTGCTTTCTTCTGGAAGGCACAGTAAGTCTTATTCTTTCTCACGTTTCCTGAAAACCTGTGCCTAATAGGAAACTGGAGTTCCAGAGAGGATTCACTCTCATTGACCAGAGCCATTTAGACATGTTAATACTGTAAATTCTATTGACTATGTGAACAACGGTGACTACTATCCAAACTGCATCTATATGAGAAGAAGCCCCCTTGAACTTGGTTGTGCTTTCTTCTGGAAGGCACAGTAAGTCTTATTCTTTCTCACGTTTCCTGAAAACCTGTGCCTAATAGGAAACTGGAGTTCAAATTTTGCATTTTAAATTATCTTGTTGATTATACTGCAAAAAAAGTGAAATAATGAAAGTGACTTGAAGGACCTGAACTGAGTAGCTGTTGTCATAGCTTCAGCATTTTGCCATTTCCTGCCTCTGCTTTCATTCCTTCCAATGCAGTGGAATAATTTAAATAGCAAATGTACTGGTACCTAATCTGGATCAAGCTTTCAGCAGAAGGGTGAGAGATTAAAACCCTCTGCACTGCCCCCCCAAATTTGGATCAGGGCCTTCGCACTAGACATGTCAAAATTTAGATCATAACCCAAGAAACTACTAAGCCCTACTTTTGAACTGCCCAGACAGAGCACATCCCAAATTTTGTGCTGATAGTCTAGGATATGCAAATAAAATGTGTAAGGTATAGTGAACTCAACTTGCATATATTACTCAACATGCCCAGGAAAACTGAAGGATGAACACTTCAGATTTTTTTGTTATAACCTCTCTTCTGCAGAAACAAAAGAATCTCAGAACTGGAATTTGTTGAGGGCACACTGATACCGTCATGTGAGCCCTTTAACCCTGTGTCACGTCTCTCATGTTCCCTGTTCCTGTCCTGTTAATATTTTGCCATAGGAAAAGGTACATGTGGTGAGCACAGTTTTTAGCATGTCATTCATGCACAATGTAACTGGTCAATTGTGGTTTCCCAGCAAGTTTGTGTGGCAAAATATTACACCAGTTAATCATATGTGATTGATAGTGAAAAAGGAATTTTGAGAGAGGCTAACAAAATACATATATGTAGTCATCAATTGCCTTTCAAACAGAAAATGAAACACAGGATATATACCATCAAAGTTTATTTGCTGTAATTTTGTGTGTACACAATGGAATAAAATGCACATAATACAGAAAATTGGCTACAATGAATACTGGACTATTAGACAGCTAGACATAACTACAGGTACAATTTACTTCAAGCAGTAGCTGATACAAGTTTGCTCATTCCGCTGAAGTAAGACCTTTCCCTTTCACTCATCACCTCAAAGTGCAGGGGTCGACGACAGAAATTGCATTCAGCTGAGGAATGTGGCTTCAGTTCCAGGCCAACTTCCTTCCATGTATTTAGCAATTTCTCTGCAAGAAGGAGATATTGACAAGTTAAAAAAGTTAATGATTTTGTTAATCAGTTGCACAAAGTCCTGTAAGACAAATTACAATTCTAATAAAACCCAAAGGTATCTGAAACACAACCTTTATTCAATACAGCTTGTTAACACAGTCATCTTGATTTACAAAGCACTAATGAATGCACCTCTAAATTAAAGCCTGACCCTTTACTACCCAATTATGTACAGAGGTTTATGATGCTTTGCAAATCCTAGTGGGCCTATAACTGATAGTCCCTAATCTTGTTTTAAATCCTGCTTTATTTACTAGACAATGGTCATTTTTTGCTTAAGCCAGTCTCGCAGATAGGCGAGGTGCTCTGCTTTTCACTGAACCACATCTGAGGTTAAAAGTACTACTACCTGTGGACCTAGTATAGCATTAGAGGGTGCATATGCACCTCTGTTCTTAACACTGTCTCAACACTGGGTAAGCTTCAGTGATAGCAGAGAGATGACAGACATGCTGGCAACACAGTAGTGTATTAGTGGGGCAGTGCTATGGCAGTTACATGTCTATGTGGCTTTCCACAGAGAAACCAGAAAACCACACAGGGTCTCATCTTAAAGCAAACTAGTAAATTGCACAGCTAGTATAAAGATGCAAAAACTTCAGTTAAAATAATGTTATGATAAAACTACCATACTTAAATCTGTAATTATAGAAATATAACACATCCTGAACAAATTGAATCCAGTTTGTGCAAGTGTTGCCTTAAGATAACAAACTTTTTATTATCTTATTTGTAACTGGGGAAAAGGTGGTTAAAATTCAGTTTTATGTATTAGATGGCATGTTTCTATACATTCAGGAGTCATATACACTTCTAGTGTTTGTAGCAGTTACCAGCCATTGCAAAACAGATGAATATTTCTCTGTAAAGAGTGATCTTTTGCAATGGAGTTGAGCAAGTTCACTTTTCAAAATCTGAAAACTTTTATGAAATATTGCTGTGCTTCTATGATTGGGCACTCACCAATAAAATAGTTCATCATCTGTGGAGTATGATGAGGTGTAGGAGCAATTCGCAGCAGCTCTTCTCCGTGTGGCACAGTGGGATAGTTTATTGCTTGGACGTAGATGCTATGCTGGCTCATCATCCGGTCACAAATCTCAGTATTTTTAGCAGCATCTGCAACCTGAATTTAGCAAAATTAAATGTGTACTGTATTTCTAGCTAATTTCTCAAGGTTTACAAATACCTAAGCACATGCACAATCACTCATCATTGAGGACTGAAATGTTCCTATGGCAAACTCCACATATTATACACACCAGGATTTAATGGGCTGTATGCACTGCTAGCTAGGCAGATACGATGCAAAACTAAGAGAAAGTGAGCAAAATAGAGAAGAAACATATTAATGAAGTGGAAAGTGAATGATATGATCTTATACCATTTCTCTTTGCCTCAGATCAGAAAGCATCCCTCCCACTACCTACGTCCTACAAAGAAACAGGAAAGCTTCATGCCATCCCTTTCCTAATCAGTGTCACTTTCCAATACCTCAACTGGCCTTGGAGGTCACTAAGAAACACAGACTGACAACAGCCTTTCAGAATGGCTTATGCCCACCCAATCCCCTACATTTGGCCAGTTTCTCTAGTTTTAATGCTGGGAATCAGCAACAAATTCTGATACCCATACTAAGTGTGATATTCTTATAATAATATCCAAAAAAGTCACAAAGTATGCAAACATTTGAGATTGCAATCTCTTAACAAGGCAAAACACTATAAAAGAAAGCAAGCAGGGAAGGAGAGGCTTGAAGGACATGTTATAGACAATTTTTCTGGGTTAATACTAGTCTATTTTTAGCTAGTTCAATGCAAATTTCCTTTAGAAATTCAAAAGCAGCAAACTCTACCAAAAATCTGCAAGCAATGATCATTAGTGCCACATTTCAGAGGTGAACAAGCACCTGTATACTTCAAAATGAAGACTGCAGCACATAAAAGAGCAGCAAACTTGTTTCATTATGCTTAACAGAGCTTTCTGCTTTCTAGGTCTGGATATCTTAAACACTTACCCTGACTGGAATGATGTGACTGGGACAATGCACGACAGGGAGCCCTGCATCCATCAGCATCTGCCTCATCAGTTTAACATTTCGCTGGTGCTGGCGGCGAAGAACTTGCCCCTCAGCACTTTTTAGAATTCTCACAGATTCTAGTGCACCAGCTAAAAGCATGGGGGGCAGTGATGTTGTAAAGATGAAGCCAGCAGCATATGAGCGAACGGTGTCTACCAGAGAACCAGTACTGGCGATGTAGCCTCCTACACAACCAAAGGCTTTGCCTGAAGTTAAAAAAAGAGAGAAATTATTTTACCAAATTCTTGGCTTAGTTATCATCTATCAACACTGAGCTACACATTTTGGATAAGGACTAGATACTCAACAAACACTTCGCACTTTGTTCTGTTCTCTCTTCTACAAAAAGAGCTCTCTCAAGTTCTTGATGCAGTGAAATAAAGTGTTCCTTCACTATCAAACCTATTAATTTTAAAATATGCTACTGTACATATGTACATAGGCCTGTATTCACAGAGAAATTACATTCAACATAAACAGAAGTCTTACAACCTGGGGGGCGGGGTTTGGAGAAACACAAAATGAAGCTGCCTCCTGAGAGATAGCAAGCTTTGAAAGTGAGATTTTCACTGGGAAGATGGTTCTGGAAATTGTCTTTAAGAGATCAGTGGCACATAAGTCCAATAAATAAATATTGACTAACAGGAATATCAAAGAGGGTTGAAGCTCATGATCTATAACCCAAAATCACAAAATACTAACATTTAGTCATCTTTACTGTGCTATGGTGATTTGTATTAATAGCTTTAATGCTCAAATAACATGAACGCTTTAGTGAATTCAGTACACTCGTAGTCTACTGGAAAAGCGTAACTTCTGTAAACCAATTCCTTTGAAAGAGGCTTGCCACAGAAGGACAAGCAGCTTGAGGTGATTACATGTTATTAGTCTTACATAATGCCAACTGACAGTTTACAGTTCCTTTAAATTTAAGGAGATGAAATACTTCCCTAAATAGAATGTATGTTTTATCTTTACAGCAGCTTTTCAATTTAAGGTAGCCACCCATCAGCTGAAGTGGTTAAACCTGCTGCTACTATCTAGATTTACTGGTTCTGTGCTTACCAAATCTATTCTTACACAACTCCCACAAGAGATTGCAGGATTAAGAATGTTATACTTTAGAGTTCAGTTCCAAAGTACGGGCAGAACAGATCTACTAATGTTTTCACAAACATCAACTTGATGCCAGAGTGCCAGAACTATTCCTGCAGATTTAGTGATTGGAGTAGTACAATTATTCTTCCTCTTGACTCACATTGAGTCATATTTCACCATTAAAATAAACAGCATTGAGCATACATACCAAGAGTTCCAGAGATAATGTCCATTTTATGCATTACTCCATCTCTGTCTCCAATACCACCACCATGAGTTCCATACAGTCCAACCGCATGTACTTCGTCTACAAAAGTGATTGCCCCATGTTCATGAGCCACATCACAAAGCTCTTCCAAGGGACAAACTGCACCTACAACAGAGTAATAGTCACAGATCTCCCATCAGGCTCTTGCCCTTCAAAACTCATGTCTTGCAAAGTTTCAGAAACGTGCGCCTAATACAGCATACATACCATCCATTGAATGAACAGTTTCAAATGCAACAATTTTGGGAGTACATGGATTGGATTTTTTCAATAATTCTCGGAGATGATCAACATCATTATGGCGAAAAATATGTTTCGGCACTCTGCTATTTCGAATCCCTTGTATCATAGAAGCATGATTTCCTGCATCCGAATAAATTTCACAGCCTGGGATGGAGGGAAAAGAAAAGACATGTCACATCAAAGTTCTTGGCTACAACACTGCAGCTTAATCTTTTGTAGATAGCTTTGGGACAACTCACTACAAGGGAGATAACAATCAGCCCAATCTGCATCTAAAAAAAGTTACAGAACTCTTATGATTAGTGCTAGATGCCTGTCAAACAAGGATACCTTATCTGGCGGAGAAATACACTTTGAGTGCAAAATGCTGGTACAGAAGACTCCCTCTAGATTAGAACTGCAGTTCAAATATTACCAGACTATTTTGCCTTAACCTGCAATTTTTTTCATGACACCCATTATTAACATCTGTATCCGTGGGAAAAGAGAATACTAGAAATTCAGGCAGGACAGCAACACTGTGAAAACAGGACAACCAGTATAATATGGTGGGAGTGTCTGCAAAGCACCACTGATGATCTACTGACCAAGGAGGGCTAAAATGAGGAGAGTTCTCTTCTAGCAGTGGCCTAATATGACCCTGCCTATCAGAGGAAGTGGAAGGGGCATCCCACACATCCCTGTACTCTTATGACCACCTATTATATAAAGAAGTGTCATCTGCTCTCTATGTTTGGCTTATTTGGAGCACAACGGAATATACTGGAGATCTATTTGGCAGCTCCTTGTATTGTAGCCTTTAAAAAAGCAGGCGAAGAAGGGGGGGGGAACAAGTTCGCATTTTGTCTTTCACACATCTAGTTTCATCACCCATTTTATTATTTCAAGATAAAAACACCATGAACATGCACCCACACCTCTCCCTGATGGACTGAAAAGATTACAAGCTACAGTCAACTCACAGCCAGCCAAGTTTCTGGCCCAGATTAAAACATGAATTCTCCAAGATTTTCGGGGGAGGGGGTTTCTCCAGGACAAAGTTTCTCACTAATTTCTGCTAGGAACTGTAACACAGCATGTACAAGTCAGATCTTACCCGGCAACATTTTGGCTAATGTGTACAGTGTCGAATCATTAGCAACGAAGCAGGAAGAAAACAACAGAGCAGCATCTTTCCCATGAAGATCAGCCAATTCTTTTTCGAGATCAACATGGAATTTACTGGTTCCCGAAATATTCCTTGTGCCTCCTGCTCCTGCACCATGTTGTTTCAGTGTTTCTCTGTGAAGGTGTTTCCAACAGGGATATTAACACTACTTGGGACAACCTCACATTTGCAAATTGCTTACATTCCAATCCATATTTCAAGTAACTGTGAATCAATCTACCAATTAAACAGTGATGAACAAACAAACTGGTTTGTTCTTTAGAACAGAGGCACTTTTTAAAAAATATGCAGTGGAACTTAATTGGTTAATTGAAATCAACCAGATTGATGCTATGTGAAATGATGATTTAGACCAAGAAATCATTAGAAGAACAGAAGAAATTGTCTCTTGATGCTGCTGGGATCTTGGATGACACGTTTATAGCAGTTCTATTTAGGGATAAAATCGTACAGACATTTGTGTATTGGTAGGATTGACTGTGATTGGACAACAGAATGGCTGCTCTCATTTGCAGTGAGCTGCCTGATAGAGAAGAGAAGAAGAAATACAATCTGGATGTTAGCTACATGTTCAGAGTCGACACACTATAATCTTCTTGTAACAAAAAAAGACCTACCAATCAAGCCATTTTGTAAAAAAATGTATTTCTAATTAACAATGGAATTCTGCAAAGTTTTAAAAGACACTATAATCACCCAACATTTTGTTTTCAATTAAACAAATACTTACATAACAGCTCCACAAACTCTAGGATGACGACTCATGCCAAGATAATCATTGCTACACCAGACAGAAACCTCCTTTTTGCTGGTATGGGACTCTGAGTAATCATCTGCCATGGGAAATATTTGGGCTCTTCGATTCACTGTTTTGAACACACGGTACGTGTGATCTCTTCTTTTCTCATCAATTTTTTTCTCAAAGAATTGGTCATATTGGAAAGTAGAAACAGCTGAAAGAAACAAGATACTCATACAAGTGACACACTGCAGTTAGAATGTGCAAGAAAGAACTTTGATTTCTATTATCAGTCAAACAAGAATAAGCCTTACATTTTGGCAAGTTCTCCTGAAGTAGATGAGACACCCGTTCTGGCCGCTGCTTCAACAAAGTGTCCTGGAATTTCTTCAGCAGGCCATTTTGCTTTTCACCATCAATGTTAACCCCAACAGTATTTTCTGGTGCTTTGGCAAACTCTGTACAAGAAAGCCAGCATAAAAAGATTAACAATCATACATATTGCTCCAGCATAGCTTGATAGCTCAAACTTTAAAAAAAACAAAAAACAACCCATAATGTGTTGGTTTGTTATTTAATAAATAAAGGAATATTTGAATATAAGTATCAGAATAGTGGAGATTCACTCAATTCAAATTGTAGGCCATCCAATATTCATATTTTCAAAAACACAGCATAAATTCACCTTCACTGTCTAATTTTGCCAACAGTTAACAAATAGCTAATAAACTGATAGTTTTTACAAAAAAGCAATCATTCAGTGACACTCCTCCTCTGCCCTCTACAACGAAGAATGTAGGGTTTTACATCAGCCATAACGCCAAACTCAAAGCTGCCAAAAACCAATTAGCACTTGATTGAAAGTAGCCAGGCATTCATAGCACAGGCATGGAGAACTCTATTATTTAACAGTGTATTTTAATATGAAAGTGAGTTAACTGTCAAAAACTGCTTTATTCCGTTTCCTAGCCCTACTTACAGAAAATAGTGTTCTTGTAAAATGACAAAGATCTTTGACTTATATGGGCTTCAGAACTACAATTATTCTAACATCAAAACTAACTGCAAATAAAAACAGACTTATAAAAGAAAGGAACCACCAGATGTCAATCATCTGGCTTTTATTAAAGCTGGACACTTTAAGGCTTGATAAAATAGTACAATTGTATCTGGTCCCTGCCTCTTCTTTAAGCTTGTATAGCACAATGTTTTTTGTTGTTTTTTTTTAAACACACTATTAAGATGAGGTCATACCTTTCCTTACAGCTTGTGCTTCTTCTACATCCTCCTGGAGTTCCAGGCTGGCTTTGCAGAAAACATTACTGTTCCCTTCACTGATCTGAGCTGCCAAGAAGGGACATTTAGACACAGTAGCTTGGCTAGCACTCTGGCTAGTAATGGGTTGGTAGGTTGCAGGAAGTTGAGATCTGCTTATATCTTCTTGAGCCACATCTGGGGAAGGTTTGACCTCTTGAATGAACAAAAATAATGAGTGTTTTGAAACACAGCAAAGAGATAAGAGTGGATCATTTTGATAGATGTCACTGTTTCAGGACACTGAGAATTCACATAACATCTGAAATACAACTAATTCAAACTACTCAGTCCCTTAAGCATCAGCAAGTAAATGAAAACATTTTTAACATGAAGCTCCTGAAGAAACACACATAAGTTCTCAAAATAAAACTATATGCATTGCCAAGAGTCAATTCCCCACTCCTGCCAAGAAATCAAATTAAGCGCAGTAAAAAAATGTTAGCTAGCCAAAATGGAATTTAAATGGTATTAAAATGGAAATGAACAGCCAAGTGTTTGGGAAAACATTTCATTTGTTAGTAATGCAATCAAGGAAGCTGCCATATAATGCCCTCATGCTGCCACCACCACCTGATCACGTTGAAAATTACAATGTGATGGTTTTGAATGTACCCAGGTAACTGCTCCATCTGAGCCAGAATCCCGATTCATGGGAGGGGGCTGGCTCACACAGAAAAGCTACCAGAGTACAGCAGTCTCTCCCTCTTCAACCAGTCATGTTTCCATGTACAATGCAACAAAGAGAATGAAGCTAGTGCACTCCCCTCAACAAATACAGGTACCAAACACTTAATGATGGAATAAGGTTTTCCTCTCAGGAAATTATGCATAGCAGGGATGGAAGTATGAAGCCCTCCAGATATTACTGGATTACAACTCCTGTCTGTGTTGACCAACACAGTCAATGCTGAGCAGAGCTTAAGTCTGGCAGCATACAAATGGCAATAGGCTTCCCATTCCTTGTTTACTAGACTACACCCTGAGGCATTTCTCTGCGTATTTACAAGGGGATTAACCGCCAATGAATTCATTAGGATCTTCAAAGAAAAATATGCTTTAAGACCATACTGTACTGCTGGTACTGGTAGTTGTGATACAGTTACAACTTCCAGAAGTTTCCTTTCTGACAGACTCTAGAAATCTGTGGCACACTTGAGGCACCAATATATACCTCAATAATACAAAATAAAAATAAATAAATAAAACCCAAACAAACCCATTATATTTGCAAATCTTAACTTGCTGTTGTTTCCTGATGCAAAAGAATACAGTATGAGGAAAGACATGGCAGGTAATTTTACACAGAGCTAGCTAGGGACTTCACTACTTGTTGTGCAAAATGGGAAGAAACTCAACAAGTTCCTCATGGGGAAAAACTTTAACTTCCTTTTCCATAGTATGCACTAAGCTTTATACCCCCTTTTACCTTAGTTCTTAAATTCCACAAGAGGATGGTTACAATATACTTGGTCTCAGAACACAAGACAATGTTATGTTCAAAGGGCAGACAGATGAGTTCTCTATCTATCTAAACTAATTTCAATATAATTCTGTCTTGAAGCGTTTATGTTAAGTACCTAAGCATATCAGCCAACAACTTATGCACTTCTCCAGTATTCTCGTAGATGAAATAAGAGAAGTCTGAAGAGCTTTCCTAGTGAAATAAGATGAGACAAATGCTATTGCAACTGTATTCTCTTTTCAGATGTATGATCACAACTAGTACTTTTCAAAACAGCTTGACAATATTTGAAGAAAACAGTTTCCAATTATAATGGATTACACTTTAACTATGGAGTTCAGCCTTACCTTCACTGGCAGAGGTGGTTTTTTCAGTCTGTTGGCAGAGAGCCACTGAAGTACTTAGGGGCCGTGAAGCAGGCTTGGCCCCAACTTCCATCATTTTAGGGCAGTTCTGGGCATAGAAAAGAAGGGATTTGCCAGCCTTCTGCAAGAAAGCCTGGGATACTCGTGATAGGAATGGGCAGCGGCGAACAACAGTTTCCATTTCAAGGTTTTTCAGAAGTTCTACTGGAAGCTACAAAAAATCCAAAAATAAATAAAATTAATCTCCTACAAATACACAACAAAATGCAGGCAGCCACTGTATTACATAAAGATTAACAAAAGTAACAATCTTGCATGTATAGAAGACACTGAACCTTCAATATAATGGTAGCTTTTATATGAAAATATATGGGCTAGTTCCTGCAAATTACAGCTTTTCCTACAATTTTTACAGTGTGCATGTATAGAAGACACTGAACCTTCAATGTAATGGTAGCTTTTATATGAAAATATAATTACAGCTTTTCCTACAATTTTTACAGTGTGCAAAACCACCTTTTAAGAATAACTGCAATCTGGATAACAGTAACAAATTAAGTAAGCAACGATAAGCCTCTAATCGTAGTACTACCACAAATTAATTAGAAATGCACACAATGTCTGAGCAATAGAGAAAAATATGGCCAAACATCACACTAATAAAAATTCAATAGATGTAGTATTTTCATGTATCACTGCTTGAATATCAAACAAGAAAGAAAAAGTGGGAGAACAGCAGCAACTAGGAGATCAACAAGTCTCCATCAGTTGGGGATGGGGAGCCCTGCCAGCCCACAGTAACACAAAACAAGACAATGTGGTGGTGTATTTAAAACTAGCCATCTCAGAGCAGCGTAGTTTTGTGAGCTAGGCTTCAGCAATGTTATGCTCAGGTCACTTACCCAAATACTGCAAGCCTAAATCTCGAGTTGCCATTCCATGCATTTCGCAAATGCATCCCAAGCTTCAGAGGACACAAAACAATGTCACAACAAACCTGTTTGCCTTCAAGACCCTAGAAACGCTTTATGGGGTCAAAACTCCACAAGGAGTTTCTAGGGCGTTTATTAAGGGAAGATGGGGTGGGGATGGGGGTCAGGACGTTTTGTTCTGCCAATAACCCTCATCCACATTCCCTAAAAGAGCACCTAAAGATTCCTATTTTTGGTCCGGTTTTTAGACAGAACAGCATCTCTTCCCACATGAGGGCCCAAAAGACCCCCAACCCTTCCCAGAGGGCAAGGAAGGGCCCGGGAAAGTCCCCCTTTTTTGTCCCAAGGCAGAGGACTCAGCCAAGCTCCCGGCAGAGGGAGAGGCAGAGGTGAGAAGGGGCCAGGAGGACAAGCCGCACCTCCCTCGGGGCCCTCTTGGTCGCCGCGGACGACGACCTTCGCAGCGCTCCTCAGCCTCCGCGACCCAGAGGAGAAGGGCGGACGGTCGGCAGAAAGAGCCCAGCCTCGCTTCCCCTCAGAGCGACCGACCGACCGGTCGACGCCGCCCGCCTACCCTCCCCGCGGGCAGGACTCGGACAAGGTCAGGAGCGGCAGAAGAGCCGCTTAAGGCCGCCGCCGCCTCAGAAACAGCTCCACCGGAACATCGCCGAGGAGGCCAGAGAATGTCACCCAAGCGCTCGAGTCCGTCCGGCTAACGGAATAAAACAGCGCGCAACCCTTCCTCCTTCTTCCCCCCCCCCGCGCGCGCGCACCCTTTACCCACCAATGAACCAAACCGCCTCGTTCCTTCTTTCCGCACTAGGAGGGCAGCGCCGGTGAGTGTCCTAATATAGCCAGTCCTCCGGAAGTACTGCGCAGGCGCAAGAAGTGGTGCTTTCCCCCCTCCCCAGCCGAAAGGCTATCCGGAGCCGCGCAGGCGCCACTTTACCACAGACGCGCATGCGCGCAACACGATAGTTCTAGATCTGTGGTGCGTCTTTTAAGCCCACCGGAGGGGAAGGGTCGGTTCGGGGCAGTTGAGGGGTTTTGGTCGCTTGCTCTGTTTTGGGAAGTTGCGGGTCGCTGTCTGCCTCTGTTGGCTGCTCGACAAGCGAGAGGGCGGGTGGATGCCCTCGAAGGTCTGGGTGGGGACGACGCCCGGGGGTCCTTAAGCAGGGCAGTGGCTGCCCTGAGCCTGATTGCCCCCCCCCCCGAAAGGACTACTGCACTGGGAGAGGAGAGGAGAGGATCCCGTGGACGGTGGACTCTCCAAAGAGAAGCGAACTTCGCCTTCTGAAAGAAACAGAATTCCGTTAATGGGTTTTGTTTTAATTGGGAGTATTTAAGATTGCAAATCTACTTAACGATGCCCAGCTTATATTGCTTAGCTACCCTGTGGGTGGCGGCGGCGCTGCTCCACTTGTGAGAGCCCGGCGGGTCGGATGGGTTAGGGTTTAAGTAGTGTTGAAGCTACTGTAAAATATTTGTAGCCGAGCATACATTGTAGAGGTGGGGAACCCAAGGGGTGACCCGGGACGGATACGGGTATAGAAAAGGCAGTTTCAGAAAGGGAGTGGTATGATGATCATGCTACTTCCATCACAGGTGCTAATAATGCTGTTGCCTTACTGAAATTTCATATTCCGTGTCTGTCTTAAGGAGGTCCCCAGCTTCATAATGTATAATAATAACCATATGCCATCAAGTCAGTTCTGAATTATGGCAACCCTTTTCTAAGTAGAGTAGAGATGGATGTCATGTATCCTATTTGAATGCCCCCACAGAGGTGGAGATAACAAGTGCACTCATTGGCACAGTCAGTGAGGCACTAATGCTGTGTGGGGTCCACACTTCCATCCTATCGCTCCGGAGATCGTGATCACTGAGCTGCTCTTCGACCTGGCAGAGAGGTTTGTCATCCCACCTCCTGTCAGGAGCGGCGAGCCAATCGCAAGCCCTGGAGCGATAAGACAGGAGCGCAGACCCTGTTGCATTAGCATATTGATGAGTGGACCCTTGTTATCTCCATGTGTGTGTGGGTATTCGTATACAAATACCACCGTGTCTAGTAGAGGGTTCTCAGAAGTGTTTTACCATTCATTTCTTCTGAGGGTATCCTGGGACTGTGCAGCCTGCCCAAGGCCACCCAGGCTGGCTCTTCTCCCAGGAGGCACAGGGGGGAATTGAACTCCTCTGGCTCCACAGCCAGATACCTAATCCACTGAGCTTTCACAACGCATGAACCTGTGGGTAAATATTTATTTCAAGTGTGAACTTTCATGGATTACATTCCAGTTCCTCTGGTTCATGAAAGTTCAGTCCAGTTCCTCAGACTCCATGGAAGTTCACACTGTTTCTTAAGGAGTCATAGTACTTTATTTGTTATTGTTATACTTGGTTAAAGTGCTGGATTTGCAGTTTCTAGTCCTTACTGAGCAGTGGAGCTACGGGGTGGGTTACTCTCAGCCTGACCTAACTCACAGGGTAGATGTAGAATTAAGTGGGGTTCAGAAGAAGCATGTATACAGTCTTGAAATCTTTGAAGGAAAGCCCAGATATAAATGTAAAAAATGGGTTGTTCCACTTGTGAAAGCATTCTTTCTCGATCTGTGGGAGAACAGTATGTGGCTGAGGGTCCCTGTCTGCCAGTGTTTACCAACAAGGCATGTTTGATTCAACCTTGGCCTGGTTTCTTTGTGCCCGGTGTGCCAAAGAATGCTATAGTGCTCATGCCTGGGCCTGTTTGACAACTTCAGCACACTTCAAAATCCTGCTCCCTAATTCTATAGCTGGTGTCAGTGTTTCCTCAGTGGGACGGAAGGGTCAGGCTCTGTGCCTCCGTTCTACACGCTTCCTCTCCTGGATGGTGGCATTGTCCAATAGACATTGGTGAAATCCTATTCCTTAGCACATAACTAGAGTAGGCTGTTGAATCCAAGGAATTTTCAGAGCAGTAGACTTACTAAATCCCCATTGATTCAGTGGGCCTACTCTAGAGCAATTTAATACACTAAGCAACAGGATTTCAGCCAATGTCTGTTCAAAAATTTAGATCTGTGCTCCAAACAGTTGTACACTTTAAATCAGTTTTACAGTTTAAATCCGCAGTGTAGGACTATCATCAGAAGGCTTTCTGAAAGTTTCATTTATAAGAGAATGTAAAAGATTGGTGTTGAGACAGGTGTTTGATAGTTGAGATCTGTGGGGTGCGGGAGACACTGTTCAAGCATTTGTATTATCTCTCCTTCAGCTTTTTATCCCAATTCAGAGGGCCACCTTTGACTTATAAAGCTCTTAATGGCTCCTGTCCTGAATACAGTATCTCGGAAACAACCTTCCCTCATTTGTTCAGCCCTGACCTTTAAACATCAGGAAAGAGTATCTTGATTGTACTTGCTGTTCATGCAGCATGGTGTTCAAACAGCAAACAGCTTATGGAGAGGAGGTTTCTGTTGTGTTGTGTCAGCTGTTGTGGAATATTCTTCCTTTCCAAAGCAGTTGAGTTGGATTTTTTTTTTAATAACTGGAGAAAGAGATTCTTTTAAATGTATGCAATTAAGTAGTCTTTATCCTGTGCCTTTGGGGAGGTGGTGGGTAAAATGGTGTAGAAAGTAAGGTAACTCTGGTTGCAGATATTTGTGATGCTTCTGATAGCAAAGAATTCCTGCAATGAAAAGAGGAGTCCAAGAATTCAAAACAAAAAATTTGAACCCATTGAAACAGGATTTGTGAACAGTCAAAATGTTCAGAAATACTATTCTCCAAATGTCAGGGAGTATTCTTGACACCTACTCTGCAGTGTTGTTAACAGCATGCGTATGTGAGACTTTACAGAATGTAAGAAATTAGGCTGCTGATCCTGCCTCTCATCTGTTAATACTATGATTTGGTTCAGATGATGCAGACTTCCTTCAGCAACAAAGTGGGCAAGTAACCAGCTGGAGCTAATAGGTGCAGGACTGATTTCCTGTTCTCGCGTGTGAATCTCACTGTGCTGTGATTCAGCAGCTCCATGTTACAAAACTCACAATACTAAAAACATGATCAGAGCAATGAAAATAGAATGACTAAGAGTATACGAGATTCATAGGAAAGTCCTGATTTCCTTATTCCTGTTCATTCACTATGCATTTCTGCACTGCTCTTGTTCCGTCTCAGTGATGTACCATAAATCACACACACTTGCATTGTTTTGCTTTTATTCTTCTGTTTTATGTATTTAATAGAGCTTTTCTTTTTTTTCATAGTTTCTGTAGTTACCCACTTTGAAGCTTTGATACGTACGAATGAATGAAATACATTTTGTTACATTCTCCAAAAGCCACTGTATCTTCAATCAGGCTATCCAAAATTCCACAATGCTGTGAGCAACGTTTTTAGTTTTTAAAATTCTTTTTATGCTGGATACTAAATGTGGTGAGGCTGATTCAAAAGAAAAGCCGGGTACAGTACACTGTTGTTCCAAACTCTGCAGTTTGTAAGCTTTGCGATAAAACAAACAAAAACATAGTACATTCAATGGATAAATTACTAGTTTTCAGGAAGCAGAAAAGAGTAAACTGCCAGAGTTTATATTTTAAAACATGAGTCATGAGACATTATTGAATCTATCCCAGTAGCACTGGATGCATCCTGCAGCCTGTCTTGGACCTTGTGAGGCTAATCCAATTATATCCACCCTCCTCCTTCTGCTTTCCATATTAAGACTGATAAACAGCAAACATGGGGGCAAAAACATACTACAAAACTCCCTGCCTCACTTGTTTTGTTTAATGAGCATTCTTGCTCATGATATGGTGACATTTTGGTTGGTTGTAATATGCTCAGTCTGGTCCCCCCCTCCTGCATGAACCAACATTGTTGCCTCAGTTATATGAAATGATACAGATATCATATGATGACCTGCTGGGAATTTATTATGTTGGGAATTTATGCTGGGATGATTGATGCACAATCAGAAACATGAGCAGGAACTTATTTTTGTTGTTGTTTGTTGTTTAGTCTTTAAGTTTGTTGTTGTTGTTTGTTGTTTATTCTTTAAGTCGCATCCGACTCTTCGTGACCCCTATGGACCAGAGCACGCCAGGCCCTCCTGTCTTCCATTGCCGCCTGCAGTTATGTTAAATTCATATTGGTTGCTTCGATGGGACTGTCCAACCATCTCATCCTCTGTCGTCCCCTTCTCCTCTTGCCCTCACACTTTCCCAACATCAATTTACTGCTGTGGTTTATGCAGTTACACTTCCGCTGGAGTAAATCACCACTAGAATTCTGGGTGCCGGATTTATACTCTGCCCTTCCCCATCCTATCTAGATCCCCATAAAATTCTAGTTGAGATTTAACTTTGCAGACCACTTTGAAAGTC